CTTCTTCTTCCACGCTCCCTCGCTCGGCGCCGGCTCCTCCTTGCGACGCTCCTCCACTTCCTGCTCCTCCACCTTCACCTTCACGTCCTCGGCGGCGATGCGCGGCGTCGGAAGAGGGCGAGGAGGGGGCTCGAACGCCTCGAGGGTGCAGGCGTTCGGAGCGGCGGCAGGAGGGGCGCTGTGAGGGCGAGGAGGAGGTGGGAGAGCAGGAAGAACGTCGACGAGGGGCTCGGATGCGGCAGGAGGCTTGGCGGGAGAGGCGCAAGGCGGAGGCGGGTGCGAGGAGCGGGCGAGCGGCGTAGGGGTTTTGCTCGACGACCTTGGCGTCTCCTCCGGCGTGCTGAGGACGGTCAAAGTGCGCGGTGGACGAGGCGAAGGGCGAGCACCTCCTCCCGCGGCGTCCACCTCCAGCTTGTGCCGGTACTTGCGCCAAGCGGCCTCCATCGCTGCGTAGCCCTCCTGCCACCCCTTGCCCGCCTCCGCCTTCTCCTGCGCAACCTTCTCGGCACCTCCAGGCTCGCGCTCGAGCTCCTCATAGTGCATCGTGAGCGCCTTGTTGTACAGGACGACCTTGGCGCGGAGGCGGCGCTCGGCGAGCGGGTCGTCGTCGTCGCTCGAGTCGCTCGAGTCGGAGAGGTCGACGATGGCGGCGGGCTTCGTTGTGGCGGGCTTGTCGGCGGCGGACTCGGCGGGAGGATGGGGCGGACTTTCGAGGCGGGGCGAGGCGTCCTCCTTGTTCACACACTCGTCCTCCTCCTTCACCCGTTCGAGCTCGTCCTCGGCCTCCTCCTGCTCGTCGGCATCCGCCTCGGGGTGCTGTACATTCTCAGTGACGTCCATGGCGTGGCGGAAGGAAGGAAAAGGCGAGTGGGCGACGTTGGGAAGGTCGTGGTCCTCGCGCGGAAGCTCGTCCTCGCCCTCCCGCCAGAGCCAAAGCGCCGGGTCGTACCCGCCGTGCTCGCTCGTGTCCGCGAAGATAGTGCCCTCGTACCCAGCCATCTCTTCGTCGCCTTCGTACCCGAACCCGCTCTCGTCGTCCGTCGCCTCGACGACGTCTTCCTCCTGCGAGTCAGCGACGACCTCCTGCGAATCGGCGACAACCTCTGAATCGGGCTGGAACGGCTCAGGCGAATAGTACTGCTGGTCGAAGCTGCGAGCGGTACGCGGACGGGCGTTCAGCGGGAAGCGGGTGAGGCGAAGAGAGCGCGACGCACCCGCCGAAGTCCGCTCCTTCGGCCTGCAGCTGCTCCTGTTTTCATTGCAGGGTCGAGTGGCATGCCCAGGCCGGCGCCCAGCTCCGGCGACGGGCTCTGCCTGCACGAAAAACGGCGATGCGAAGGTCAGCCTTGGACGACGACGGCGAGCGAAAGAACGCACCGCTTCTCCTGTCGCCTCTCCCTCACCCCCTCCCGCTGCTTCTGTATCCACCGCTCGAGCTTCGGTCGGAGGTACTCCTGCTCCTCGGGCGTTTTCGTGTGGAACCAATAGATCAACCCCTTCAGCTTGGGACGACGGGCGGCGCGGACGAGAGCGGCGACGTTCCCGCGCTCTTCCATGGTGCTGTGGAAGCCTTCAGCGAGCGGTCCCACGGCCTTGGAGCGGAAGCGGTGGACGCGGTAAGGCCAGGCGAAGCGGGGGCATCGTGAGCGAGCGGGCGGGCGTGCCGGGTGTGTGCGTGCAGCGGTTGGCGTCAGAACACCGTCAGGGCGACGCAGAACATCTGCAAGGGATGCAGGCGAGGAGCAGCGAGAGAGACAGAGAGAGCGAGCTGCACGAGGGGAATGTGACGTCCGCCAGCGTCGCTTCCCGCTCGCGCTGCAGCCCAAGGGCGTCGAGCCCACGTAAGCGCCCGCGCGCACTGCAGCAGCCCGTCCTGACGAAGTGCGAGAACGAAGAGAGCGATCCGATCCACCTTCCCCGCTGAGAGGCTGCCACAGCGTCCCGAGCACCGCTGCTGGCTAGAATGACCTCTCCAGCGGCCCACAAGTCCAACTACGGCGCCGGCGGGTCGGGCGGGATGTCTGATGAGAACGGCGGGTGCGTTTCGAGGAGCGAGGAGCGGAAAGGGTCGAAGGGTGCTGAGGAAAAGGGGTCGCGAGCGTCGGGCGTAAAGTTTTGGCTAGGTCCCTGAGACAGCGAAGAAAGGGTCCTTACAATATTTCATGGCAACAAGATCAAGCGGCCGAGTCGCGAGAGAAAATCAGACGAACGCCCCGATGCGCTCGCCGACGCGGACAATCGTCTCCATCTTGTTTGACGAGTTGCGGACGAGGTCGGCGTCCCAAGCGACGGATCCGGGCGGGAAGGCGGCGATGATGGTCGAGCCGCTGCGTGAGCGGACGAGGTCAGCGCACGAGTTGAGGCGGTGGGCAGGAGAGGGCGCAAACGAACCCGTAGGCTGTGCGCGGGGCGCGGAAAGAAGAAGGACGACGACTACGTAAGTGTACGATGCCGCGACCGCATGAGGCCCGTCCCGACGCACCAAAGTAGCCGACCTCGCCTCCGCGTTCAACCTCCTTGCCCTCGTCCGCAGTCCGCACGATCGAGCCGACAAGCATCGCGCCAACCTGCACGAAAGCGACGGGGAGCGACTGTCCCGTGCCCGTGTCGGCGTGGATGAGGGTGACTGCGAGGGGGAGGTCAGCGGGAGGAGTACGAAGGGAAGGAAGGTGGACGCACCGTCTCGCTTGTTGCGGGTAAATACGTCGATGTCCTCGTTCACGCAGACAGGGTTGACAGTCTGCGAGCCAAAGTCAGCAAGTCAGCCTCTTCCCGGCGGGTCAAGCGGTCGAACGCACAAAGTATGTCCCGTCGATCGCCTTCGATGCGCCGACCCTGCCCTTGACGGGGCTGTGGTAGCGGTGGTAGTCGGCTGGCGCGAGGCGGAAGACGGCGAGGGGGCCGTTTTCGAATTGCGAGGCGAGGGCGGGGTCGTCGACGAGGGCGGGGAGGGTAAAGTTGCGGCCCTGCGCTCAGAGGAGCGGAAGCGTCAGTAAGCACGTCCGGAAGGCGTGGCTCTCAGGTCCTGAATCTTCCCCTCACCTTGATCCAGAACTCCTTGGCCTTGTCGACCGACTCGAAGACCGTCAACCTGCAATCCGCCGCGCTGCTGACGACCTTGGGGTTTTCCGGCTCGTGGACAGGCCTCGCGCCCGCCTTCAGAGCCCGGTAGAAGAACTTGTTGAACGTGTCGTACTTGGCGGGATCGGGTTCGAGGAGCTCGGAGAGGTTGATCGAGTAGGTCTTGATGAAGGACTGGATATGCGAGAGGGCGTTCGTCGGCGAGTCAAAGGCGCGACCTTGCTTGATGCTTTGCTCCTGTGGGAGAGCGGGAAGAGTGAGCGTGCGAGTTCGTCGAGCGGAATCGGCGGCCTTCGCGAACGCACCTTGAGAAGCGCATCGACCTTTGAGTATCCGAGCACCTTCTCCTGCTCCCTGCCGTGGTACAGCAGCTGCATACCAACGCGCACATAGATCGGCATGCTCTGCGGCGACGATATCAGCTATTTTCTCGCGGCCGGGAGAAGGAACGCCTCCGACGCACCTCCCACACCTTGACCGGGTTGTCGCCCCTCGTCATGACGTAGTTTCCGACATGGTACTCGGACGCAATCTTCTCGAGGCCGGGGACGAAGCTGCGAACAGAGGCAAAGGGATTGAGGAGGAGGTCAATGACGGCTTGAAGAGAAGCGCGGCTGGCACGCACCGTTGCAGCCACTTGTGCTTCACTCCTTCGGGCGCAAACAAGCTGGTCAGCCCTCGTTGCAACGCGACCCTCGTTCAACCCCCCGCTTGACGTAACGCCTGGGGACGACACTCACCGTGCTCCGCCGGCGTGTGGATGTCGAGCTCCTTTGGCTCCTCGTCTGGCCCATGCGTGAGCGAGTCAAGCGCTCCCTGCGAGCGTGCAAGGCAGAGAGAGCGCAGTCGGGTCAGTTGCTTGTGGGGAAAGAGGGAAGCGAGCGAGGCAGCGAGCGTAGGACGGACAGCGTAGTCGTCTTCAGTCAGCTCGCGAGGGTGAGGCTCAGTCATCGCAAGCGTCCACAGCTGAAGCGGAGCGAGTGGGAGGAAGAGAAGGGACGACGAACGGCGACGTCGACAGGGTCTCCCAAAATTACTCGTTGTAACGACCGCAAATAGCGTGAATACAGAGTCGAGCGAATGCTACAATCCCTGCTCCTCGTCCAGCGGCCGCCGCTGGTCCCGTTCGTCTTCATCCTCCTCGCCCTCTTCTGCCGACACACTCGCCGCAAGCAGGTATGCCCCTCCCAGCGTAACTGACAGCTTCCTCCGTCTGCGACCTGGTCCTGCGCGGGCGTCTGGGATCGCTAGCGTCTGTGTCGTACGCGGAAAAGGCTGGGAGAAGACGGAAGAGACGGAAGGTGTGCGCTGAGAGGGAGGAGCAGAGTCGGTCGCATGGCTGTCGGCGGCCGAGTCTGTCGTCGCCGACTTTGCGTGACCGTTGGGCGAGTCGCGGGTGAGGAGGTAGACGCCTGCGAACATCGTACGACCGTCAGGACTCGTCAGCGCTGGGTGCAGGGAAGGCATCTCTTCAGGTCTGGGAGGCCACCGAGCTCACCGGCCGCGCAAATCAAGCAGCCAAAGACAAAGTTGACAAGGCTGGGCAGGCCAACGCCTTCAAAGTCGCGGTACAGAATCGCCGAGCCGACAATCGTCGAGAGGGAGAAGGTGGTGAATTGGGTCGGGATCACGACGCGTGACTCGAAGCGTTGGACTGCACAGCAATGGTAGAGGCTCAGAATCGGGCGAAAGAATACGGAGGGCGATACGCACGGGACTTCTGCAGATAGTTGAGCTGAAGGAAGGCGGAAAGGGCGAGCGTGAGAAGGACAGCGTAGGTTATCGGGTACTTGAAGCTGCACGACACAAGCCTGAGTGAGAGACCGAGTTGTTGCAAGGGTTTGCGCGACAAACCTGTCCAGGAAGATGAGGTTGAGGAAGGAGGAGAGCGCCTTGGCGGACAGAACGGTGAAAGCGCCTGCACGAGCGGTCCTATGAGCAACTGTGGACGAGAAGTGCGGCGATACGCACCTGCGATTGCGCAGAGTGACAAGTCGACCAGAACGAAGCGATCGCCTGCTTTCGTCCGGCTGAAGTAGGCGAGAGCCGACATTCCTGCGGCGCAGACGGCCGCATAGGCGATAAAGAGTGGGCGTGAGATCGCCTCGACGAACTCGCTGGGCGTGAGCTGCGCAGAGAAGCATCAGCTTGAGGTTGAGACGCGTTCCTCGCCATGGTTCACCTTGACATCCCGTTGTCGAGATGCGTAGACGACCGTCGCGCCTCCGATGATGGCGATGCCGACGCCGACCAGGTCCTTCTTGCGGAAGGGCTGTGAGATGGGCATCAACGGACAGCAAGGCTTATTGGCACGAGACTGGCCGGCTCACTTCTCGCACGATGACCGGGGCAAGGAAGACATTCGCTATCAAGGCGACCATGCCGAGCTGCATCTCCATGAGTTAGCGCGAGCTAAGCCAGTACGATCAAGAGAACGCACCGGTGCGACGACAGAAGGCGGCGCGAAGCCGTACGCGAGGAAGTTGCCCAGCTCTCCCGCTGCCATCAGGAAGAACCCGAGCAGCCATAGCTTGCTCTTCAGGAAGCCCTTGTCGGTTCTCGGACCCGATGTTCGCCTCTTGCTTGGCGAAAAGCTTCGTTGTCGGCTGGCGATGGATTCGACAGGCGAGACGAGAACCTCTGGCGTTCGAGGCTTCCCTCCCAAGCCTCCCTGACTGATGCCCTGCTCAGACGGGATCGAGTCGAGTGTTGGCCGCGTTCGAACGATCAATGGTGTCCGTTCAGTCGACCGAGGAAGCGTTCGAGAGAGGGATTTGGGTTGCGAAGAGGATGTGGGTCGCTCATCGCGATGCGCGCGCTTGAGGTGCGCTAGCCTGTATGTCCGAGCAATGAGTACACGGCGACTCGCCGAAGCAACCTGCAGAACTCGCCGCTGGACGTTGAGCGCGAGGGAAACTACGACGTTCGCAAGGACAGCTATCCCGACGCCAATCAAGCTGGCGGTTCCGTCGCTCGGCGCGACAGAGGGCATTTCTACGCCAGTGGGGTGCAACCCAGCGCGCTTTAGCCAGTCCAGCGTGAGCGAGGTGAGCAGTTGAAGTATAAGCGGGGGTTCGTCTCCACCACTGCTGTCCAGCTCCTCCAGCTCGCTCGATCGGCGCCATGCTGCCGTCCCAGCAAGTCCCACGGCGACCGGCACAGGATCCGTACCGCTACAGCTCGGCGAGCGACGACAGCGAGTCGGCGACTTCATCAGTCTCGTCCGCGCAACATCCGGCGCACCACCCGCTCGACGCAGAGGAGGACGGCGGGGAGTCAGTGGGGGAGGGCTCACATGCGCAGACTGGGACAGGGCAAGCGCAGGTGCGGCCCACGAGACCACACGACCCGGTTCGCCTTGCCTTGCCTCGCCCACCGCAACGAACGGTGAGCATCGACACGGCCGGCGAACGAACCTGCTGGATCTGCTACGCGACGTCGACGGAGGAACCCAATCGCCCGTTCATTCACGCCTGCTCCTGCACCCTCCTCGCCCACCCCGACTGCCTCCTTCAGTGGATCCAGACGCAGGCGGCAACGCAGGCTCAGGCGCCGCGCTGTCCCGTATGTGCGACGCCGATCGTGATCAAGGAGAAGCGGAGTGAGGCGCTGCGGCTGTACAAGAAGGTGCGACGAAACCTCGACCAGGTCTCGCTCGTCGCGGCAGTCGGAAGTCTGGCGGCGAGTGGGTGGTTCGTTGCAGCGGCGTACGGCGCCTGGGCGATCAAGGTCTTCTTCGGCGACCAGGTCACGCAGGCGCTTCTTCTGCGGCACGAGAACGGCTTGCCTTGGAGGTACTGGCGTGCGTTCCGCTTCTTCTTCGCTGGCTGAGGAATCCGTGGCTGACGTTCACGCTTCCTGGCCCAATTGCAGTCAACTTGCCCCTTATTCCGCTCACCCTCGTCCTCTCCCGCACCCCGCTCATCGACTCGCTCCTCCCCTTCCTCCCGCTCACCCTCGTCCTCTCTACCCATACTCACACACCTCTCTTCGACCCAATCGGTCTCGACGACCTCACGCTCCGCTGGCCGCCTTCACCAACCCTCACGGTCTGCCTCCTCCCCTGGCTTCGCATCTTCTACTTTCGCATGCGCACGAAAGTCTTTGACGCTGTCCTCGGCAAAAAGAAGCGGTTCAGAGGGTTGGCGGGTGTCTTTGAAGAGGCGGCGGAGGACGAGCTGGCGACTGTTGACACGAACGAGCAGCCGAGGAGGGAGATCATGGGTGTTGTGGCGACGTTTGAGCTGGATGTCGAGGCTGAGACAGCACGGCAGGCGGCCGCGTCGACTGCTCAGGCTGGTGAAGCAGTGACTCAGCCCAACGGAGCTCGACCGGAGGCTCAGACGGAGCAGCATGAGGACGCCGCACCGGCGCCTCCGTACGCCGAGATCGAACCGGCGCAGCAAGAGCAAGACGGCGAGGAGCAAGGCGTGCAGCCTGACCTACTGCGTCTTCGCGTCGGTCTTGGACGGCTCACCTCCATCGTCCTCGGCGCTCTCCTCTTCCCCGCCCTCTCCTCCCTCGCCGGTTCAGCCCTCTACTTCCTCGCCTCCCGCCAGTCCTCCGCCCGTCCCTTCCGCCTCCTCCGCCGCATTCTCGGCATAAGCGCCGTCATTGCCGCCTCGCGAACGAGCTCAACCGCCTCACGCGCAGGCAGCGTTCTCGGACTCGGCTGGATTCGCCAGCTCACGAGTGCTGGATCGGCGCTTCGCGCTGCGCCGATGGACCCGCGGTGGGTGCGCAACACGATCGGAGCGGGGTTGGTGCTGCTCGTCAGGGACGCGTTCGAGCTGACGGCTGGAGTGCTGGAGAAGCGGAGGAAGGAGTCGAGGAGGATCGTCGAGCGGCCGTTCAGGCCGAGCTCGGGTGCGAATGGTACGCAGGAGCCGAGGAGGGCGAGCGATGGTACGGCGGCTACAGCAGCGGTGTCGAGCGGCGGACGGGACAGGCAGGGTCGTGAGGCTGTCGTGCACAACTTTCTGTAGATAGCGCTTCCTTGCTTGTTGTCGAATCCGATCTTTTCTCACCATTCTCGCGAGGGCATCGTAAGCGAAACAAGCGATTGCACGGCACGGCACGGCACTGCATCCGTCCGTCTCCGACAGAGGGGTGGGTATAAGTTGAGAAGCGAGGGGAATAGGTCAGGGAACGAGGCTATCGAAGAGATATGCGGAAGGGTCGTTAGGGAGATAGTCTAGTCAAGCGTGGGAGAGGGAAACAAGCGAGAGAGGGAAGCGGAAACAAGCGCAAGCGAAACAGCCATCCGACAATCTTCGTCCAACTCCGTCCATACTTCAGTACTCCGCCTGCTCCCACGGCTTCCTTCCTCCTCCGCTCGCAACACCATTCACGGCGAAGCACATTCCGCTCGCTCCAACCCTAGCCTGCAACGCGTTCCTGACCGCCTTACCAGCCCTGGCGCGCTCATTCTCCTTCTCGCGCTTCTTCTTCTGCGCAGCGAGTTCTCCGGCACTCGTAGCGCTGGGCGTGCGGCTCTTTTGCCCCGAAGCGGCGGACGAGGAGGAGAACGACGGCGGACGAGCGTGCGCCGAAAGCGAGGTGCTCCAGATGATGGGCGGGAGTGGAGCTGGCTCGGGCTTCTTCGAAAGGTAGGGGTCCGTGTAGGGCGAGTGCCTGACGGGGCCGGACGAGTCGCTCGAGAAGTGCGAGACGGGCGCCGCGGGAGCGTGAGTCGGGACGAAGGCAGGCGGCGGGGCGAAGTAGGCGTCCAGCGCGGGAACCGTGCGGGGCCTCGGGTAGTGCTGCGACATGCTGTGCGGAGTGTACGGGGCCGAAGGCGCGAAGGCAGGCGCGGACGGAACGAAGTTGGGCGTCCTCGCGAGAGTGGCCAAGTCGGCCGTCGGGACCTCGCCGCCAGCTCCGCCGCCCGACACGTACGGGCTCCTGTACGACGCCTGCATCGACGGAGCGGGCGAGGCGGACGAGGTCGAGCCAGGGTGCGAAGCGGGAGTCGGAGCGGCGAGGTAGGCGGCGCGCTGGGACTGGATCGTGAGGACGTGGCCGATGTCGTTGGCGTAGGGGAAGCACTTGAGGCAGATCTTGCGCCTGCGCCAGTTCTGCGGTCACGACAAGCGGGAGAGGCGGGAGAATGAGAGAAAAGCAGATTAGGAAGGTCAGCGCCAGTGCGAGGAGAAGGGTGGAAGAGAACGTACGACAAACGAGCAAACTCCGCACCTCCAGTCACCTGCCTGGACGACCATCGGACCGACGTTGCCCGTGTTGACGATGGGCTGCTGTGCAGCAGCAGCAAAGACATGGTCGGGCGGCGCGAGTTGCTGGAGAGTTGGGATGCGGCCGTTGTGCAAGTTGGCAATCTTGGCCGTGTCGGACTCGCTGAGCGGGTACTCGGACGAGAAGGCGTCTGCGGCGGCGGAAGGGCCGGACGAGACGGAGAAAGCGACGACCGAAGCTGGCGGTGGGGGAGGAGGGTGGCAGAAGGGGACCGCTCCGGGCGGCGCGACGGTCCTCGCGCGTTGAGCCGAAGCGGCGAGGAACTGGGGATGAAGAGGGGCCGTGTGCGACTTGGGCGGCGGGTGGGGCGTAGCCGAGTGAACGGGCGTGATGGGCGGCGTGGCCGGGAATGGCGGGAGGTAGTAGTGCGCGAGAGGTGACTCGGCTCCATTGTGCGGCAACTCCGGGGTGCCAGTGAGGACGGGAGTCGGAAGATGGTAGCGGCGCTTCGGCTCAGGCGAACGAAGAAGAAGCGAGGATGAAGGCGGGTTCGGCGCGGGCGAGTCGACGCGGAACGCCGGCGAGGGGTGGAAGGTGAACGAGTCCTCCCTCTTGTGCTCGAAGGGCGAGAACGGGCGGAAGTTCGAGGCAGCGCCAGCAGACTTGTCCTCAGACTTGCGAAGGTCGAGCCTGCCGACGTCGTCCTCGAGTTCGCCGATTAACTCGCCATCCTTTCCCCCGTCGACCCAGACGCGCAGCCCAGCCCTCTCGTCCTCGGTAGCCTGACGCGAGGCGAGAAAGTCGCCGAACGAGGGGAAGAACGAGTTGGTCGTGTCGCGGAGGACCTGGTCGGAGGGCTTGACGACCGGCTCGTGGCCGGCAGACGGGATCGCCTGGTCCTCCTTGACGTCGTTGATGTACAAGGAGGGCGAGGCGAAGGGGTCCATGCCGGCTCGAAGCGAGGACGGCGGCGTCGGAGGCGTGAGGATGCCGTCGTGCTCGCTCATGCCCGTGTCGCAACTCGAGAAGCTCGCGTCCGGAGTGCCTCCACTCGATGAGTCGTCCTGTGTACTCCTATTGAGCGTGGCGAGCGAGTGAGGGAGGTGGGTCGAGGGCGACTGGAGTCCGTCGCACGAGGAGGGAGGGAAGGGCGAGCGCTTCTCGCGCGGCGGGAAGGCGTAGTCGGGGCGCTGTCCTGCGTAGCGCGAGAGTGGGAAGCGGCGCGAGACGGGCGTCGCTGGCTGTGCGGGTGCGGTGAGGGTGAGTGCGCCGCCAGGAGGAGGGGCCATGGCGAGGCGGGCGGGAGAAGAGCGAGCGAGCGAGTGTGTGCCGGCGCGGGTGTGCTGTGGCGTGTGTGAGCGTGTGTCTGAGCGAATCGGAGTGAGCAGTCGAGTGAAGAGAAGCGAAGAGAGCGAGGAGAAGAGGGTCGGGAGGGGGAGGCTCAACGGACGAGGGGTCAAAGCGACAGGGCCAGCGGGAGCTCGCGTGATGCGGAGAGCACTACTAGAGCGCCAAACAGGGCAGCAACGAGTCGAGCGAGGCGCGAAGAGAGGGTAGAGAGCGAGAGCGAGGCGAGAGAAGCCAGGAGGAGGACGAGGTTGACATCCGGTGACAACGCTCGAAGCGAGTTGAGCAGAGTGTAGACAGCGTAAAGGAACTCTCCAGACTCACACAGGTGATGCAAAGGGTATGCGAGATAAATCACGGAGGCGAGCTCGTCGCACAGGGTATACCCTCTTCCTCGCTACGCATCCTTCATGACCCTCGCATCGCACATCCACTCTCCTTGCGTCTCGTCTCCGACCCACTCGAGCGCCCACAGCCCCTTCTCGCGCAACAACTCCTCCTTCTTCATCCCCGTCGCGTAATTCGCATGCACGACGCACGGTCGCGCGCCGGGCTCGAGGCCGCCGTCGAAGAAGCGCATGCCGGGCGGGAAGAGGTCGAAGGGGAGGGGCTCGATGCGGATGGGAGTATGTGGGCGGGTGGCGTATGGGCCGAAGGAGTCGAAGTAGGAGATCGTGAGGGAGGAGTGGGCGGACGGGTCGTGCGAGACGGGGCAGATCGACTGATACTCTTGTGCGAGTTGTAGGCACGTCTTGCCCTTTGGCGTGCCGGCGTACGCATCGAGCGAGAGACCCGCCTCGTCGAGGATCTCGTTCAAGTCGTCGACATCTGCCGAGCCGAGAGCGTGCATGAAGCGATCGTGGCTGAGTTCGGGTAGATGAGGAAGCGCCTGTTCGGCGAGAAAGAGTGCAGGACCGAGCGCGGTCGCCTGGAAACTCGGCGCGCGAGCTTTGGGGAGCTGGCCAACCGAGGGCGAGAGGTACAGCTGCGGGTTGCACGACGACGAGTTGGGGTCGCCGTCGCAGTCTGCGCCGTTCGCGCGATACCACTGCGACTGTTTCCTGCCCGTCTCGAGCGCTTGAAGCAGCATCGAGATGTGGCAGAGCGCCGTGTCGCGCCAAACTTTCGCCGCGCCGGTCGAGGGAGAGTAGAGGTACATGTCGGCGGGATGAGCGGAGGGAGAAGAAGGAGCGGCGAGTTGGGCGCCGGCATCCGAGACGCGAGAGTAGAAGAAGCACGCGCAGGGCATGGTGTGCTTGCCCCAAGCGTTTTGGGTGTTGGGGTTCATGTCGGGGGCGTAGACGATGGAGGGGAAGGGTCCCGTTGGGCGATAGTAGTGAGATATGAAGGCGGAGGGAGAGGAGAGCCTGCGCGAGAGAGCCGAGTGAGCGAGCGTCAACGAAGGATGCAGCGCCCGAACGCACCAGACGGCGTCGTTGTCCACCATGAGGACGCCCTTGACGCCCTTGAACCCTTCGACGTCAATCGGTCCCGACTCCCAATCGTGCGCGAGTATCCGCTCCCGCCAGATCGCGTCCTGCTCCTTCCGCCACAACGGCATGCTCTTCTGGCTCTCGACGAGTGCGCCGATCAGGGTGCTCATGACTGCCGTCCGTTCAAGCATCAAGCTCTGATATTTGAGTGTACCCCAGGGAATGACGCGAGTCGCGTCGTCGTCCGGGTTTGGCTGGGAAGGGAGGAGGAGGTCGAGTAATCGGAGGTTCGTGAACGGGTCGTCCATGATGGCACGCTCGACCTTTTCCACCAGTTCCCACTTGACCGGATCGTCCTCTGCCAGGTCCTCCGCCGCGTCAAACTCTGACCAGTCCGGCCCTGCAACCCACCAGACGACGACTCCCTGCTCGCTCAACTCGTACGCCAGCTCTTCATCGCTTGTCACGACGAGCACCTTGGGAGTCTCGTCCTCCTCCTCCGGCTCCTCCACCCGCTCGCCATGCTCATTGTGCGTCGCCTGCTGTCCCCACCGCGCCTTGTACCGAAGGAAGCAAAGCCAGTTGAACAAAAGCGGTTTGAACGCTGGCGTCGCGAGGGTGACGAGGAGGGTGTGATCTGGCGCAGGAGCGAGCGCCGGAAGGACTGGCAGGAGCGACGCGAGCGATGTGTGGAGTGTTGGCGGCGCAGAGGTCGATGAACACCGGGGGAAGAGGGGGAGGAGCGGTTCGTCCGCTGGCGGGTCTCGGTACGCTGTGGCGAGATGTAGCAGGTGCACGACGGTGCCCAACGACGGTGCCCAGCAGCGTCCACACGCGCATGCCTCGCCGTCGGAGCGCGTCCCGGCGTCGAGCTGCGAGCGATCGGGAAGAGAGAGTTGGAACGGGCGGCGGGATGGGAAGAAGTGGACGTCGATGGCCTCCTGGCAGCGAGACGGGGCTATCGGAGTCCCAAAGTCCTGTCTCGGACCAACTCGGGCGATTCGAGCGACGGGAGGAGCTGTGGTCGAGGAGAGAGGAGGATCTCTTCCTCTGGAAAATCCTCTCGCTCTTCACCTCCTCTGGCTGGGGATCCCGAACAAGATCCCAGGTCTTTCAAATGTCGTACAGAAGGACCAGGCGAACGGCGGAACCATTTCGGAAATCCAGAAAACGCTCACGACGCGCCGCCTCCGCATCCCTCCCCTCTTGACCTCTTTCACTTCACTCCAATCTCGCTTGGACATCATGAGGACATCGGCAGTTCTTTCGCTAGTCGGCCTGGCAACGGCGGCGTTCGCCTCGGACGTTGTCGACCTCACCGGCACGACTTTCCCCGACTTCGCAGCGCAAGATCTGACTTTGATTGAGTTCTTCGCTCCCTGGTAAACTGTCGCTCCCCAAACTCGATGCACGAATCTGCCGCTCGCTTTTGACGGCGCGCACACATCCCGGCACGTCCTGTGGACGGAGAACGACGAGGGGTGCGGTGGGGAGTGCGCGACGTGGAGCCTTGCGGTGGCTGTCACACGCGCGCTTGGTGGTGGGCGGATTGCAGAAAGTCCTCTGCTGCCTGCAGGGGTACTTTCGGATCCTTGCACGGCGCCCGCACGGCAGGGTTGCGCCAGGAGGAGACCTCGCTTCGTCTTCCGTCAGCACCGGAGCAAAGTCGTGCAGAACGCGCGTCGGGAGGGGTGGCGCAGCCTCGAGGTGTTCTCTACACTCGCACAAGGTCATTGCAGCCCTTCCGAGACGCGTCTCCGCGGTGGACGAGGCGTTTCGAGGACGCGCACCCTCCCCTCAACTCGCTTTCATAAGCACACCCGCAACCCGCTTGATGCAGCGTACTAACCCTCTCCTTACTCGCACAGGTGTGGACACTGCAAGGCGCTCGCTCCTCACGCGAGTCCCGCCCAGAACGCTCACCTCGACTTCCCACTAACCGCTCTTTCCGGCAGTACGAGGAGGCCGCCACAATCCTCAAAAAGGACAAGATCCCCATCGCCAAGGTTGACTGCACTGTGGAGTCGGACTTGTGCTCGTCGCAGGGCGTCAATGGCTACCCGTCAGTTCCGAGCTGCCAACTCGCTTATCCCCAACTCGTCGCTGACAACGTTATCGCCCCGCAGCACGCTCAAGGTGTTCCGTAAGGGTGTCCCTGCCGAGTACGGTGGCACGCGGAAAACGGACGGCATCGTCTCGTACATGAAGAAGCAGGCGCTCCCCGCCGTTTCGGACGTCACGGCCGAGAACCACGACGAGTTCAAGACCGCCGACAAGGTCGTCCTCGTCGCCTACGTCGACGAGTCCGACTCGAAGACGCAGAAGACGTTCCGCGACTTCGCCGACCAGTACCGCGACGACTACCTCTTCGGTCTCTCGACTGACGCTGCTGCCATCGCCGCTGCCAACGTCAAGCCTCCCGCGGTCGTCATGTACAAGACGTTCGACGAGGGCCGCAACGAGCTCGAGGGCAAGATCTCGAGCGACTCGCTCCTCACCTTCGCCAAGGAGCACTCGGTCCCGCTTCTCGACGAGATCTCGCCCGACAACTTTGCCACCTACGCCGAGGCCGGTATCCCCCTTGCCTACATCTTCGTCCCCGCCAACGACCCCAAGCGCGAGGAGATCGTCAAGGCCATCGAGCCCGTCGCGCGTGAGCACAAGGGCAAGATCAACTTTGTCTGGATCGACTCGAACAAGGTGCGTTCGCCCGCCGTTCCATCCGGTTGTAGCAGCTCACTAACGTTCCGACCACAGTTCGCCGACCACGCCAAGTCTCTCAACCTCCAGGAGCCGACCTGGCCCGCGTTTGCCATCCAGAACATCCAGGCCATGACCAAGTTCCCTCTCGACCAGTCCAAGACCGTCGACTTTGCCACCGTCTCGTCGTTCGTCAAGGACTTTGCCAACGGCAAGATCCAGCCCTCGATCAAGAGCCAGAAGACCCCCGCCGTCCAGGACGAGCCCGTCTACGTCCTCGTCGCCGACGAGTTCGAGAAGGTTGTTGCCGAGGACAAGGACCTCCTCGTCGAGTTCTACGCCCCGTGGTGCGGACAGTGAGTCGTGATGCTTCGTTCCTGCGCTTGGCGAACGAGGACTGACGCGCTCTTTCCGCCGCAGCTGCAAGAAGCTCAAGCCCACCTGGGACACCCTCGGCGAGCGCTACTCGAACGCCAAGTCGAAGATAACCGTCGCCAAGTTTGACGCGACCGAGAACGATATCCCCTCGTCGGCTGGCTTCCGCGTCGCCGGCTTCCCTACGATCAAGTTCAAGGCCGCCGGCTCGTCCGAGTGGATTTCGTACGAGGGCGACCGCTCGCTCGAAAGCTTTGTCGAGTTCCTCGAGGCCAACGCGACCAACGACATCAACTCGCCTGACGACGAGGAGGCTGAGCTCGAGGGCGAGAGCGAGGTCAAGTCGGGCCGCCACGACGAGCTTGTGCGTTGGCTACCCCTCCTTTACGTCGACTTGCTTGGTTGCTGACTTCCGCTTTCACGCAGTAAACGCCTCGACGAGCGAATGCGGAAGGAGCAGTAGGAAGGACGACGAGGCGTACTCTACGACTAGACGGGGAATCAAAGCTGGAAGGTGTTTGTGCTCTCTCTCGCATTGGCCTGGCACGCTGGCTGGCTTGCTCCTATCGTCCTGAATCTGGCCAAGATCGCAGCTGGCGAGGCGAGCAGCGCCTTCGAGGAGAGCGGCCATACCTTCGACGCTCGGGGACGAACTGCTGGATTCGCGAGGGCCTGCGCATGACTGCAAGCGCACCGGCGTACGGCCCCGCCGCACGAAGCTGCTTCTCGTGGTTCCCGCCTCCTTTCCGCCCCCTCTATCGTGCGCTTGCGAGGGGAGAAGATCTCCGTCGCAAGGCTTTCCGACTGGCCCGATACGTTGTTCGAGAGCCATGAAAAACATTGGCGCGCTGCCGCTCCTCCGGGAGAGGTGGTCGTTGGTCCCGTTCTCGGCGACGCCTCTCTCCCTCCTTCAATTCACTCGCTCAGACTCAAACCGCTCAGATCCCGCTCGCTATGACTGTCACGATTCCTGTCGAGCTCCAGCAGTACATTCTCGAGCTCGCCATCCCCCCGCTCATCCAGCCTAGCCTCAACGAGCGCGTCCGACTCTGCAAGACCTTCTCGCTCGTCCATCGCGCCTGGACGCCCATTGCCCAGCGCGAGCTTCGCGAGCATTGCGGGATCAGTCTGGACGGCGTCCTTTATCATGAGCAAGCTGCCCAACGGTCTCTCCTTGCGGCGACGAGGGGTGGATGGGCTGGCAAGCGACTCGAACTTCGAGTGTCGGGGATTACTGCGTTGAATTGGCGTACAGTCTGCGCCTCACCGGTGGAGGAGCTTTGGCTTACTTGTGTTGTCTACCGCTGGGTGTCAGTCCCGCACAACCTCCCGCAGAGTGCGTTTCAGTTTACCTCGGCTCACGTTCGGTCTGGCGTCTGACCGAGGTTTTCCTGCGCAGCGGTGAAGAAGCTGCACTGTGCGGTATTTGAGCTGGCAACGACGAGCATGACCGACCCCCTCTACAATTTTCCCGCGCTCGAGTATCTACACCTGCGTCGGCCAACGAGACACCTTGATTGTCTCTCCATGTACCCCTTCGCCAGCACCCTGACTACCTTGCTGATCGATGGCGCTGAGCTCGGCGGATCGCTCTTAGGGACCGTCCGAGACTGGCAGGATCTGCCCCTACGCGTTCTCTTCTTTGCTACGCCCAACCGCGTCCTCAATCGTCAGGAGCTGCTTGCCCTCCCCCCTACACTTCAACACTTTGCTTACCTCCCCGGAACGCCGGCAAAGGACGATCCCAGTGCCAAGTACGACTTTGCGACGCCCCCATTCCTCACACTCCCCAAGTCACTCCGTTCGATGACCTTCGTCACGCCGCAACGCATGTCGATCGACCACGACATCGCTCGCTCTGTCCTCAAGGTTGCGGCCAAGAATGTCGGAGCGAGGTTTACCGTGGTGGCGGAGGAGAAGCACGGTAAGCGATTCAGCGCGGAGGAATGGGCGATATCGGTGGGAGCGTGAGCAGATCTAAGCTCCTCAGAATGCAGTACATTCCCTCGATCTCTTAAGGACGGCTAAGCGAGAGACTCGGAAGCAGGAAGCCGGGCAGGTTCTTGTCTTGCTCGAAGCAACTGACTGCTGAACTGCCTATACTTGCACTCTTTTTAGCGTCTCTAGCTCCCCAATCTACGCGCTCCACTTCTGCTGGTACTCGGCGAGGCTCTTCGCCATGTCGAGGCTGCGCAAGTCGAAACAAGTCAGCCCGTCACTCACGCTCGACTTGAAAGCCGTACGCACACAGTGTCCTTGGCCTCGATTGGCTGCCACTTGAACGTCTTGCGGACCTTCGACGTGTCGATGACGTTCGCCTTGGGCTTGGGGTTGCCGGGCTTGCCCTTCTCCGCGTTTGTGAAGGAGGACTTGAGCGAGTCGTCGGCGTGCTCGAAGAAGAGGTCGAGGAGGGGCTGGTAGGACGAGTCGCCTGCCGAAAGATAGAGGATGTTAGCGTCAGAGCAGTCCTGAGTGGATCAGGGGTGATGACGAAGGGGCAGACGAGGGCGGGCGGAGTGACCGAGAGACTGGAACGCACTCGTGGCGACGAGGAAGCGCTGGTTGCCGGCCTCTTCGACGAGGAGCGACTCGACATGAATCTTGGCGACGTCACGGACGTCGACGAAGGAGCCGAAGCCGGCCTGCGCATCCTCGGCGCTCTTCTTGCCGGTGAGGAAGCCGTAGAAATTGTTGATCGACGTGTTGAGCTTGTCGGCGGACGGCGCCTCGTGCTCGAGCGGACCAAAGATGAGGGGCGGCTGAATGGTCGTGATATCGAACGAAGGCTTCTCCTCCTCGACGAACTTCCACGCCGCCTGCTCCGCCTTAGTCTTCGAGCAGCGGTACGCCTGCGAAGGGTCGACGTCCTTGCCCTTCTCCTCGACCTGCTTGGGGCTGTAGTCGTTCCAGTCTTGCTCGGTGAATGAGTAGACTGGGTCGTGCGGGTTGACGACGGCGGCGAAGGAAGAGGTGATCACGACTCGCTTGACGCGGGGCTCTTTGGCGGCGGAGCGGAGGGCGTTAAGCGTGCCCTGGACAGCCGGGTTGATGAGGTCCTTGTACGGGTCGGTAACGTTGAAGTGGAAGGGGGAGGCCTGCGGAGGGGGACCGAGGTCAGTCCGAAATCGTCGGAGTAAGTCGGCGGCGCTAAGGGAGAGTCGGCTCGAGGCCTCGACGAACTGAGAGAGACCAAGGGAGCGGGATGGAGGGAAGAAGGCAAAGCCGCGGGCAGAGGCGGCGAGAAACGCACGGTGTGGACAACAGCATCAACGCCCTTGACCGCCTCGTCGAATGCGCCGGGCTATGTCCAGTATAAAGCGTCAGCCGAGCGTCGTAGCTGGCCTGGAAGAGGTGTAACGCACAGCTTCGACATCCTCGACAATGACGAATTCGAACTTGTCAAGCCCCTGCTGCTTGAAGCGGTCGACGAGGTATTGTCCCTTCTCCTTCGACCGCACTGTGCCCCTCACGCGGAAACCGGCTTGCAAGAGCTGCTGGGCGACATCTACAAGTGGAGGTCGGCGAACGAGGTGGGGACGAGGCAAAGGTCAGCGAGCAACGACTGTGCGCATAATCGAGAGACGTACGGGCGCCGAGGAAGCCACTGGGACCCGAGATTAAGACAAAGCTGGAAGCAGGAACAGCGGGCATCGTGAGCGAGTGAAGTGGAGGAGGGAAAGAGGTTTCGCAGGCAGAGCGGAGGAGTCATCCGCGTTAGGCGCGTTGTCTGGCAAGCAAAACGATGTTGCAATTCGTTGTAGACGTCGAGATACTCCGGGTTCGAGGAAGAGCAAGGACGATATGTTGCAAACACCGAACTACGCTCCCTCGTCTGTCGCCGCATCCTGCGCCTCGTCTACATCAGTGTCCGCTCGCTCCGCACGCTCTCCCGACGCCGCCTTCCGCCCTCGACGCAGCAGACTGTCCCTGAGCATTTCCTCCCGGATCTGCCGCGCATATCGCTCGAGTTCCTCGTCGTCCGCGTCTTCGGGTGACGTAGATGGTGTTGCATCGTCTGCTGGATGATTCAGCGCGGAAGGGGATGTTGACGTGGCGGAAGAGCTCGAGGCGGAGGCAGGAACGGAAGACGATAGTCGAGATGAGGCGGCCGCTCTTCGGTTGAAGAACGCGTAGCCCTCCCATCCGGCGCATACCACGACGACCGCCTTGACTGCCCAAGTCCACAGCACCTTCCGCAGGATGAGCCACAGCAGGCCATATCCCGCCCCCTTCTTCGCAATTTGAGCCGCGAGCGGCTTGTCTCGCGCGAACGCCCGCCAGCGAGGCTTCGCCCTCAGTCCCGCGTACGCCACCGCTCCTCCAATACCTGCCAGCAACCAGACCACTGTCGCGATCAGCCCGCCCCACATTGCTGTCCACGCCAACACCCTCACCAACCATCCGAGCGCCGTCCAGATGTGGCCGAAGATGTATCGTACGAAGCGGAACAAGTACGGCCATACGACGCGAAGTATTTTGGCGAGAGCGGTAAAGACGACGAGGCGGAAGAGCCATGGGAGGTAGAGAGACTTGAGGGAGGCAGAGAGGAAGCGGAGGGTCGAGAGGTCGATCTCGTCATCGACGGAAGGGAGGGGCTCGGCAGGGCTAATGAGAGGAGGCGGAGTATCGGTTGGCGAGTCTGCAGCGGAGGGATCGGGCGAAGAAGGGGGAGGCCGGGAGGGAGGAGAGGGAGAAGTCGACGTCGGCATGGCGGCCGAAAGTGTTCTCGGTGTCTGGTGAGGTTGGCAAGCGCCGTCAGAAAGCTCAGGACCCAATCCGCGCGTCTTCAGGCGCACCTGAGCTTCTGAACGATTCCCTCACAAGACCCGAGATGAGGAGGAAGAGGTGGGTGTACAGGCGATGGACACGGTTGGTGCGCTGCTGGGTAGCGTACTGCAGCCCGATGCAATACCCTGATAGCAGACCCAAGGCTTTTAGCGGTATCGGGCGGGACGACGGAGTTGAAGAGATGAAGCGACTCCTCTTGGGAGACGACAACACCGTCAGCTTCGCTCGACAGGCTCAGCGACCGCTCGAATCTGCTTCACAGACCTGTAGGAACTCCTCGCAGCCCGCCGTCTTGCTCCCAACTCGCTTCACCCTCTCCTCGTTCCTCCCCACCGCCCGAACCCCTTGTGGGTGCTCCTCTCCGTCGCTGAGCTACTGAAGACAGAGCAACCATGTCGTACCATCCTCAAGTGCGTACAACTCATCTCCGACTCGCTCTCCGTTGCCAGCTGACTGGTGTGCGTCTACAGCCCGGCTTCCAGTACTCGCCCTCGACGTTCTCGTCGTCTCAGCGGCAGCAGCAACCGACCATGGCCAACATCCTGAACCACCAGGACTCGTACAGCGTGAGCGCGACGCAGCAGCAACAGCTTGTGGGAGATGAGGAGTACAAGTGCGTTCTCTGCCGCGAGATTTGGCTCGCCTCGTAACGGGTTGGACTAACATGACTCCTTTGCAGCCGTCTTCTCAAGAACTACAAGCTCGCACACTTGCGGATCGAGGAGCAACGGACGGCTATGCTGGAGCAGGAGAAGCAGGTTGGTGTCTCGCTCGAATCTCGCTCGCGGCACTCGCTGACCCCCTATTGCCCCTCGCAGAACGCCGCTCTGCGAAAGCACATTATGCTGCTGGAAGGCGGAGACTCGGGTGGAGCGACTGTCATCGGTGTGCACTCGGCGGGAGGTGGCGGAGGAAGCACAGTTGACGATGTGCGCACGGTTTGATCTCCCGCTACGCAAAAACCCGCTCACCTCCGCTTTTCTACAGTTCACGATCAAGAACTCGTCCTCCTCGCTCGAGCGGCGCATCAACCGCTGGGCCGCCGACACCCTCGCCGCACACATGCGATCCGCTCCTCCTCCCCCGCCCGGAACCGACCCTTCAGCATTCCAGCACCTCGCTCTCGTTCCGCTCGCCGAAGCGCTCTACCAGGACGTCGACAACGTCGCCGCCTCGCCCTTCATCGTCGGACTGAGCCAGATGGGCTTCGACTACCCCGGCTTGGGAATCGTCGTGCAGAGCTTGCTGCGGCACGTCATGAGCCAGCTGCTTTGCGATGGTATCGTCAACAAGCTGCTCGTCACGAACTCGGAGGATGCGAATCAGTACATTTGGCCTAGTCTGATTCGAAGGGCTCGTCAAGCTGACGCCTCGCGCCCATAGGGAGTTGACGAAGCTGCACGAGCAGCTCTTCCACCGTACGCATTCCCTGTCTTGCCTCAACGCAGCTGCTGACCGCGCTCGCGTAGGCGAACCGCTCGTCGCCTCCGTCTGGCGCCGACAAACCTTCTCCGCCGCCGTCGACTCGCTCGACCCTGAAATGTCGCTCTCGCTCTTCCGCGAGCACATGCCACACGTCTTCTCGCTCATCAACCCTTCGCCGACTATCGCGCCTGAACTCGAAGCCGTCCTGGACGCGAGTTACGTTTACAGCCGCATGCTGCACAAGAGCTACTCGCCGGGCGGTGCGCTCGAAGGAAGCGGGTTCTACAGGAGCTTCGTGTGCCAGGTCGGTAGCCCACTTGACCCGACTCAGCTTGGTGCGTTCCGCTTGGTCCCGCCATCTCTCGCTCGCTGCCAACTGACGAGTATCGCCGCGAAGAACTGATCAAGAAGTGCTACCGTACTGAGCGAGGTGAGCCACTTTTTAAGCCTCATTAGGACGACTTAAACTGACATTCCCCGCAGGCGAACCCGAGCGAGTCGGCGCCTGTCTCTTCCCCGGTCTCGTCAAGGAGACAGCGATCGACACGACACCTCTTCCTTCGCTCTCGATTCGACACGGTCCTGGAGCGCAGAACGGTCGACAGCCGCTCAAGAAGCGCGAGACGCGGACGCTGGTCGTCCGGCGGGCGCAAGTAATCTGCGAGTAAGTGGCGCAGCGTCTCTATTCGCTTTAAACAAATACGTATACATTTTTGTTAACCACGCTATCCCTGCTTGACAGGTGCGCTCTCGCAGCCGCGCACGGAGTCGGCGGCGCAGGTCGTCAGGCGCCCATCCACCCTTCCGCTTCTCTTTCGCCTCAACCGCAGTGACCGCTCGCGTTTTCTCCAGCTGGACTGCTCGCACTCGACGCTCTCTTATACCTCTTCACGCGCTCATACCTTTGTTCTCCTTGTTACGCACCCGCAATCATACCTCGTTCTTTGAACCTCCTTCGTCCGCCAAGGCCCGCTTGCGCTGCATCTTCGTTCGTACAAGTTTCTCCTTCTCTCGCTCACTCGGTGACCTTGCGCTGACCTTACTGTTCGACAGGTCTCATCGCTCCGCGGATTCGCCGGGCCTCCTCCCGCTCGCGTGTCTGCTCACACCCCTCCTCGCCCTCGGCTTCATTCTCGTCACCTGGCCGCTAAGCGCGTCCCCCCGCTTCTGTACTGCTGCTCGGTTGTTCGCGCTATGCAGCCAACGCTCGACGCGACCATCCTCCTTCGCGCACCTCGCAGCATCTTTTCCTACCGAATGCCGGTCCAGTCAGAGTCAGCTGCCCCGAGCACTGCCTCTTCTCACCCAAGCGACGAGCCAGACGACGCGTACGAACCCAGCTACGCATCGTCGCAGTCCTCGCACTCGCGCTATCCTTCCATGGCGGGACCTCCGGAACCGCCTCCCTCCTTGACCTCGGATCGCGACGCCTTGCCGTTCCCTCCACCTCCCCAACCCCTCGAGAACGCCTACGACAGCCCTCAGCTTCAGCGACTCTCGCCTCGACGCCCTCTGCCTTCCCTCCCAACCGGCCCTCGGTTCGTCCCTCTTCACACCGTACCTCCAGCACCGCCGAGCCTTGGAAAGGGCAAAGGCCGAGCGAGCGAGGAGGATGTGACGGCGGAAGAGGAGAAGCGCGCTATTGCGAGGACAAGGGGACTGGACGACCTGCTCGAGCGCGAAAGGGAGGAGGCGGATGCGGTCGGCTTACTCTCGCCGGCGACGACCGACTTGCCCGCGTACCCTGCTGTCTCGCAAGCTGCATTACAGCGACATGCGAGCACGAGCAAGCGGCTGTTGATGTCGTTGCCGGAGGAGGGCGAGCGGGAGAACGAGAAGGCGCTTGCGGCCGTCGAGGAGGTTCGGCGGCTGGCCAACGAGGACACGGCGCGGCAAGTCGATGCCGATATGATGGGGTCGAAGGCACGTCTGGCTCGCGAAGCCGATGAAGAGGAGCAGTCGCGTCTCGCGCAGAGCCGGACGGCGGAAGCAGCGGCGTTGGAGAAGCGAATGGAGGAGCAGCTGCGACTGGAGGATATCGACGGAATGGACGACCCTCCCCCGCCGATCACGCCGGACGATGAAAGAGGCGGGATGCTGCCGTTGACGGACACGAAGAAGCGGCTTGACGAACCTGCTGAGGTCCGAGCGACTGGTCCGGTTGCGCCGCGTCCCGCGTCCTATCGCCTTCCGCCTCCGCCTGTCGCCGTCTCGGCAGAAGCAGCCTATCCTCCCACCGTCTCGCAGAGCCGCTTTCTCGAGCCGCAAAATCCCATGCGTCCCCCGCTGCATCCTGCGCAAACAGCTGCTCCCGCAGCTTTGGCTCGACATGCGACCACAACGGAGCTGCCAACACCAGTAGCGGTCCTTCCTTCGTCGCACGAAACGTCCATCATCTCTTCGGCGCCTGGTCGCCTACCATCCATGCTCGCGGCGAGCGAACCCCTATGCGCGCCGCCTCTACCGCGACATCGCTCGTTGGGTCCCGCAGCGTCCTTCTACAGCACAGGGCTCGGGTTAGCGGTGCGTTCTCCTCATCTCACCAGGCGGACCACGCTGACATGCGCTTCTTTTCTCGTGCAGGACCCGACCCGCTCCTCCACCTTGACAGCATCGGTACGCCAGCGACAGCCCAGCATGATCCTCTCAGAACCTTTTTTGGGTCAAGAGCCGCTTACAACGGCCGACATCGCTCTCACTACGTCGCATCAACGCGGCCTCAGCTGGTCCGAGTCTTCTGCACTACCGCATCCCGCCTCATTTGCGATACCGCCCGCACCGACGATTCCCGCTCATCTACCTGTGGCGGCGGTCACCCAGGCACTGCCGCCCACTTCGACGTTTTCGGAGTTTGGCGCTGTTCAGCTTCCTTACCGCTCGTCTTCCTCGACGCCGGCACTCGTCCATCACCCAGCACAAACCGTTGCCGCTCCGCAAACTCCTTCACCCTCGTTCCAATCTGCGGTTCAGCCTACACCCGCTTTCTATACCGCCGTCACGCCTGGCGGACCCCTCCTTCCCTTCTACGCCTCTGCTTCGGCAAGCCCGGGCGGCCCGACCTCGTATTATACACCTCTCGGTGCCACGGCCCTCCCGCCCAATCGCATACATGCCGCCTCACTTCCGCCACCTCCCGCTCAACCAGTCTTCGCCTCACTCCCTCCGCCTCCTCAACCTGTCACCTTCCCTTCCCTCGCCCCACCGCCACAACACCTACACCCCGTCGTGTCGCCGCCTCTGCTCCACCCGCATAGAAGTGCCTCGGCACACGACTTGCGCCCATCATCCCGGTCGTCAAGCATCTCCCCTTCTTTGCTCGGGGAACGGACGCCACCCAAGCCAGCTCGTGCGGCGAGGATGAGTACGATTAGGAATCTGTTCGGGAAGAAGGGTGGAAATGGAGCAGGCCTAGGGGAGATGCCGGAGGAGTGAAGGAGGAGGAGGAGACGAATTGTAGCGGTTCCTTCGCGACTGCGGCCTGTCCCACAACCGACTCATCGCTTCCGTGTGATTATCAGCGACTTATACAGCATCGTAGCGCATTTGACGAGAGTTGACCTGTCCAGTCCGCTGCAAGAAGTGCCTCTCTTGCTCTTCCCCTTCGCGACATTGCTTCACTCTCGCTCCAACCTGTCCAGGCTGTGTCTTTCACCTGCTCTCTATTTCTACTACCTACTACCCTCGCCATGCCCACGCACGACGCGGCCGACTCTCACGGATCCCACTCGCCCATCTCCCATCTTCATCAGCAACGCCCGCACCGGCTCTACCAGGGCCACCGGCGCAAGTCATGGATCGTCAATGACACGGACACGATGCTAGAGCTGCGAGCTCGTGCGCGCACGTTCGACGGAGCGTACACTCGCGCTGCCCTTAGTGCGTTCCCTACCTACCTTGCGTGCTCGTGAGACGTTGCTCACCGGCTCTTGATCTTACAGGCAATCTCGGATACGCTCTCCTTGTCCTCAAGATCTTCTCGCACGAGTTCGCCAGGAGTGCGTCGTCCTACTTCCCCTTTACTCCCGACTCAACCCGCTGACCTCGCTACCGGCCGAAAGTCGGCCTGATCTACGCCATCATGTCGATGCTGCTGCTCGTCATTGCGCAGTACAGGCGTAGACGGAGCGATCACGACTTTGCGGGTGCGTTCAGCGCTTCTCGCCGACTTGGCTTCTCCTGCACAGGACCGGAGGGTCCCGAATTCGCTCGAGTCGCCAGGGACCGTATATTGACACCCTTCCTGTTCCGCAGACATCCACCGTCCCGAGATGAATACACCAACCGTCGTCAAGGCGAGTGAGCGCATCTGGGGACGCGAGTTCCGCACGAGCGGGGATGTCGTCGTGCTTCTTGGCGTCGTCTGCACGGCGCTGTACATGGCGCTGTTTGCGCTCATCATGCAGCTGGACGCATAGGTGTACGGGAGGGATCAGGGTGCGTGCTGCAGCGCATCAGCCTCGTTTCGCCTCCACCCACTGACAAGCATGCGTCGCTTCTCCCAGCTCCGCCTCGCTTTACAACGGGTCGGTGCCAAGCGGTTAACGATACGCATGGCGAAAGGCGAGCGACGAGCGGCGGCTGAAGATGTCGAAGGCGACTGGGTGCACCGCCTCCCGTCCGCCGGAAAGTCCGGGCCATCTCTCTCCTCTCCTCCTCCCCTCTCCTCCTTCTACCACTCCCCATACGCTTCTCTGTCTTCTCCTCAGCGCCCAGTTCGGCCGAGCAGCCTGACCAGACTCGCCCTTGCGCCCTTCCCCCACTCACGACATCTCCTTCGCTCCTCGCTATACTCGCTCAACACGCTCGCCGAAAGAGATGTCACCCGACGACGACGCACCGCACGTTCGTGACCGGGACAGTGAAGCGTTGTTGACCGCGATGGACAGCGTCGAAGTCTCGCAGGAGGAGCGGCAGGTTCGTCCGGCTCATCTTCGTGATTCCGATCCGCTGTGCACTTCCTAACCCCTCTTCTACGACGCTCAGAACGGATACGACATCAGCTTACTCGCGCTCAAACCCCGCAACTCCGCCCATCTCCCCAACTCGCTCGCCGTCGAACACGAAGACCCCTTCGTCGACGCAGACGAACGATCTCCGTTGGCGCACCCCGACTCTTCCTTCGCTGCCTCTGATCGTCCGTCCTCTACTCGTTCATCCGAACAACGCACCCGCCTCACCGCCGTTCCGCCAGTCTCGAACACCGTTCCGCGCTTTGCCGCCGCAGCCTACCAACACCGAGCTCAAGCATCCGAGTCTCGCTCGTCGCTCACGAAGCATCGGTTGGAGACGATGTTGGCGGGCGAGGCGCACGAGGCGGACGAGGAGAAGGGAAGCTGGGTGGTTGACGGAGTGAAGACGAGGGTGAAGAAGCCGCTTTGGCAGCGAAGGTGGCTGCTCCTCGTCGCTGCGGTCGTGGTACTTTCCGTCTCCGTCGGCGTCGGAGCGGGCGTCGGCGTGATGATGAGCCGAAAGAACCACTCGACGGCGGCGGACAAGCAGGACACCGCGTCGACCTCAGCATCGTCGTCCTTCACCGCAGTACCACACACGGCTATCCCTTTGCCCGCCTCCAGCTCTCCTTCCTCCTCGCCGCCCGGTTCGGCGGGATTACCTGCGACTGCGGCTCCCACCGACTCGGGATCAGCGGGCGAAACGGCTTGGGACTCGTCTCCAACGCTCGCTCCACAGGGAGCGTCTCCTTCTGCCGCAGCTACAGAGTGGGTGCCAACGTCGGATGCATGGTCGGGCGATGAGACGGGCTCGGGCTGGACGTAGACGTTTGCAAGGCTCTCTCGTTTCGCAAAGGGTTACAGGGAAGAGAGACCATACAGAACCCTCAGTCGATAAACTGCCAGGAGATGTCGAACTGTTGACGCCGAGAGTCAGCTAAGTGTGAGAGAGGGAACAAGCGAGCAAGCGCAAATGCACCCATCCTTCGTCGACTGTGCCGAGTTTGTTGTATGCGCCGGTACTTAAGTCTACGTACCCAGGTCCCTCGCACCTGCACAAACCCAACTATCAGTCTCCTCCGCTTCTCAGACCGCAAAGGAACGCACGAAGGACACATATCCGCGACCTGCACATCTATCGACCCTCCCTTCCCGCTCGTCCTCGTGATCCGAATCATCTTGCCACAGTTCTTGCCGCCGGCGTAGGTCTCGGTCTTGAGGGCGCAAATTAGGGCGCTGTCGGGGTTGACTTTGCCGCAGGCTGCGAGAGGGGAGAGTTAGCTTGGAGGGGGACTGGGAGGGATCGAGTTACGTACCGCCTGCGACGCCGTTTTGCTGCCCGTCGAGAAAGTCCTAAGCACCCTCATTATCTCAGACCGAAGAAGAAGCGCTGCGCACTGTATAGAATGTCGCCTTTCCAGTATAAGTCTGGCCGTTCGCCTTTCCCGACGCCGTACTGCCGCTGGCCGACGCACTCGCCGTTCCTTTCGGTTCGCCAGAGACTAAAGAGGCTTTCGATGACTCAGTCGAGGACACAGGGATGGAAGTGGAGGCGGCGGTGTCGTCTGTCGAGGGAGAAGTCGTCGAGCCGGCAGTGTCGACAGGCGACAATGTAAGGTCTGTCGCGGAGGCAGTGACAGATGGCGATGTCGTTACGTCTACTGCAGCCGGTGTCGTTGTTGGCGCGGCAGCACCGGACGGTGTTGCGAAAGACGTCGAAGCGGAAGAAGCAGGATGCGTATAGAGGTAATATGCCAATCCGACGACGCCTAGCAGGCCCATCCCAATTCCTGAATTACCATCCCGTCAGTGGGGAACCAAGGGGAAAGGGGAGAAGCAGGACGCACCGAGCCAGACCTGCCAATTCCCGAACGGACTTCCTGTATCTCGCGCTCGCGCTCGTCCTCGTTCTTCAGGTCCTGCGTCTTCTGAAGCGGAAGAGCGAGAGTCGGTATCTGTCTCGTCGCTGGATTCGCTGGAAGGGTAGCTTCGCCGACCCTGCGCCCTTGTGCAGAAATCAGCCTCTCCTCGCTCAAGACTTGCCCGTCCGCAAGACGCACCTTGCGCAACGACCTGGCCTCCCAGACCACCCTTGACTTCTCAACATCCCCCCTCGCCAACCGTCGTCGTTTCTCCCGCCCAGCGCGCAACGGAAGCGGCGCAAGCAAGCCAACTTTGTCCTCTGTCTCTTCCTCGTTGCCCGATCCGCCGTCAGCACTGTGTCCAGAACGCATGTAACTTGCGAAGTCAGTCAGAAGCGAGCACAGCGCAGCAAGTGTGAGAAGAGCGAAGGAGGAGCGAAGCAGAGGGACGGAGAATCCGCGGACTTGGCGTTGAGGAGCGAGGGTGTCCTCGGCTCGCTCGTTGGGGGGTTGACACGGGGGAAGGGAGGAGCGAAGCTGCACGAGAGTGTGCGAGCGCTGAAAGGCAGAGAGAAGGGCGGGTTGGGAAGGTCAAGCTTCTTGCGAACGACGCCTCGTCGACGAAGCAGAAAGAGGTTGTGTAGGATATCAAAAAGGTGCAGTACGTCTGGTGAAGGGTATGTCTAGACTAGTTGGTAACAAGCTGCGCGGCCGCACACGTCACGGCCTAACCTTCCACCTCCTCACCCTCCTCTCCATCTCCCCCTTCCCCTCCTCCGCCTTCCCCGCGGCGCACTCATCAACCAAATGCCTCCTCACATACTCATTCACCAACACCCCCCGTGGGTCAACCCTCTCCCTCACGCGCAGGAAATCGTCGAAGCGGGGATAGAGGGCGCGCAAGTCCGAGGGAGAGAGGTGGTGCGATTTTGCCCAGTGGGGTTTGCCGGAGAAGGAGGTGTGGAGGAGGGTGGCGAAGTGGGAGAAGTAGGAGCGGTAGGGGACGGGGAGGTTGAAGGGTCTGCGAGCGAGCGAGCGAGAGATATCCTCCCATCGTCAGCTTCTCCTGCTCAGAATTCGGCAAGGAAACCCCGCGACGCACCGGTACTGAATAGCACCGAGATAACACCCCCTCCCTCCCCCCGTCGGACTCAACCACCCATCATCTCTCTCCGTCCACCTAACCTCAATCGGGAAATGCGCTTTGAGTGGGTACCCCGGGCGCGCGAGTTCGGTCGTGTGGAAGGCGTTGAGGGTGTAGAGTGCGGAGCCGGTTAGGGAGTAGGGGACGCAGGATTCGTAGGTGTATTGAGGGCTGCGAAGGGAGCGGGGCGCGCGTCAGTACGGCTGGGCGAGTGCCGGACAAAGGGAAAGAGGACGCACAACCCGCAGTCGTAGTTAAAGATCTTCACGCCCAGATCAACTCGATAGCTCGGCTCGTCCTCAAGGATCGGCCAAGGCAATTTCTTCCGGCCGCTCTTCGCGTATACCTCGGAGTCGTTTTGGTCGGAGGAGGAAATGGTGAGCGGTGAGATGGAGCGGGAAGGGGAGGAGGAAGGAGAGAGCGGAGGAGGGGTGTAGGGTGGTGTGAGGAGGTCTGAGGGGAGCTTGGTAGGGCGCGAGGGACGGTCTGCGTCGAGCGGGCGGAAAGGAGGGGAGGTAGGGCGTGCGGAAGTCGATGGAGAAGGACCGATGTCGGACGAGGCGGGCGAAGGCGGGCGGTTAAGCTTCTGCTTCTCCTCCTTCGCCTCCAACTCCTGCTTCTCCCGCTCCTTGTCCATCGCCTCCAACCCCCTTACGCTCGGCCAAACTTCGCTCCCCTCCGTCCTTCCCACCACCCTCTCCCATACTCCACGGAGGAACAACCGCCAATCCGCACGCCCAGGCTGCTCGTGGAAAGTCCACATGAACCAGGCGTGGTAGGGGAGTAAGGAGGGGATGTAGCGTGTTAGGGAGAGGACGAGGGCGTGGATGTGTTTTGCGAGGAGGACGGAGGAGAGGTAGGTTGTAAGAGCGGAGGGAGGGGGAGTGATGGCCTGCGCGAGAGTCGTGTAAGGTGACGTGAGGAGGAGGAAGAGGGAAAGGAACGCACCTTGGTAGTCCGGTTCAACCGACTGATCTTGACCCTCCCAACCTGCGGGAACCACCAACACCTGACATGTTCCGCGCTCTCGGCAATCTCCCTCCACCTCTTGTTGAACTCGTCGAACCGCATCGAGAAGACCTCTTCCTCGAGCTTGAACGCTCGCTCGACGCGCATCCCGACTCCTACGATGATACCCACTGCGCCGAGGCCGCAAAGAGCGGCGTGAAAGAGATCGGGGTCTTGCGCTGGGTCGCGCGAAACGCGCACGACGGGCGCGGAAGGGAGGGGAAGGACGATGTCGAGGAACGTTGCGCAGGTCGAGATGGAGGGGAACGAGACGCCCGATCCGTGCGTCGAGGTCGAGATGGCACCGGCGAGGGTTTGGTCCGAGATTGAGCCGAGGCAGGACATGGCGAGCGAGCCTTTTTCGAGCAGGATCGGGTGAAGGTCGCGCAGGATTATCCCGCCTTCGGCGTGGAAGGTCTGCGTCGCGGGATCGACCTGGCGATAGGCGGGAATCGGGTCCGGACGAGGAGCAAAGTGGGAGGAATCGAAGGTCGAGGTCAGCTGGGGCGCTCGTAGGTGGCTGGGAGGGACGCGCACGCACATCGAGGACCCTGTTGAGACCCTTCAAGTCGAGGATGTACCCGCCCGTGCAGACGATATCGCTCGGCGAGTGACCCGCCCCTGCAGCCCTCAACTCTTGCCCCTCCCTCCTCGCGAGCTCGACAGCCCAGCGGACATGCTCGACGGTGGTAGGACGGAAGACAGCCTGTGAGGTGGATGAGAAGGTGGTTGCCCAGTTTGTGAAGCGGAGGGGTGGTCCTGCGCGGATCGTGAGAGGGTGCAGGAGGGCGCGGAGGTCGGCGGTGGAGAGGTGGTCGAGCGGGGGTTGGTCTGGCGGTGGCAGCGGAGCCATTCCGAGTGCTAGTGAGCTGTAGTAGCCCTGTTGTAGGCTGGTGAGAGAGAGCGAGGAAGACGAGTGCGTGCTTTGCTGATCGAGGACGACGACTTCCGGTTGCCGAGCGAGTCTCGGCCTCGCTCTCAAGAATCGCTTCCACCGCGTCCATCGCCACGCACAACACGGCACACTCGATCGACTGGTACCCGCAATCCACTCGGCAGCACGGCCCCGCCCCGCGACCTCGAGCACAACGTCGCTTCCTGCTCGAACGACGGAACAACCGACGCTGCAGATCCAATACCCTGACAAGCGTGCGCTCTATCGACCCACGCGCACACAACCAAGCTAGTTATCATAGCGCGCTCGATCGAAGCACGCGCGGCGATGAAAGAGGCCGCAACTTGGAGCTGTTCTTTGCGCACTTGTCGAGGGCGTCGAGGACGACTCTTTCTCCTTCACCTGCGTGCATCCGATGTGATTGCTTCGACTGCTTCCCTTCGCTGACGGAGACGGATGCCCATCGCGGCTCGATGAGCGTCGACACGGCACCTCCTGTTACTCGCCACAAGAGGACCCTCGCTTCGCGCTCTCCCCTTCGACTCTCGCTTTCTTCGGCTTGCGCAACAGCACTCTGTGGTGCTCTTCGACGCTCGAAGCACGCCTCGCACCGAGCGAAGCAGCCGGTGCTGTCACAGCTGCACTGGCTGGACTTTCCTCCGTTTCCCTGCTCTTGCTCGTGGCTCGCTTCGACTTCGCTTGGCTCGCGTCCGCCTTCGACTACGCCTGCGTGTTTGCTCGCGCCCATTAGCGACAGTCCAGCGCATCAGCTTGAGCAGATCGACCGCCAGCCACTCTTTCCAGCTCTTCTTCCGAACTCTCTCGCTATGCTCTCCTCCCTTCGACCCTCTCTTCCGCCTTCCGCCGCCCGCCTATCCTCCCAGACGCACTCACACGTCTCCCGTCTTGCCCAACCCGACTCGCACCCAAGAAACCACTCGCACGATTCTGACATTCCCCTCTCACGCTCACGATCCCGACCAACCCTCCGCTCGCTCGATCATCGCCTCTCTCTCGCCTCCTCCTGCTCCCTCGACCCTCACTCTCACAACAGCCGGGATGTCACCCTCTTACGCACAAGCTACTTCAGCGTGGTTACCCTCCCCCTCCGAAATGCCGCAACCCGACAAGGCTCTCCTCGCGACGACAGAGGACGTGACGGCGGGGAAACACTCTCCATCGACGATCGCGCACGGAAACGAGAACGCAAAGGTGCAGGTCGTTGGGGAGTTGACGCCCCCTCTTACGCCGCCGGGTGAGAAGGAGGATTCGATTGCGGCGGGAGAGGGCGTGAGGAGGAGGAAAGTGGGGAAGTCTTCCGAGGACGAGGAGCACGATGTCCCGGGCAAGGGTTTCGTGCAGAGTATTGAGGGGACTGTGAGTGCGGAACGCTACGTCCCGGAGGACCTCGACAAGCGGATCTACAAGCCTTGTGCGTCCTCCCTCTCCTCTCTTCCTCGCGAGTTCCTTGGAGAGCTGATGGTGGGCACGCAGGGGTTCCGCGCGCGAACATCGCTGCGACGCCGGAGCATCCGTACGGCACGACCGCGGGCGGGTACGCGGAGAAGCACAAGGACGAGCCCGTTCTCGCTCAGCACGTCGCTTTCTTCGACAAGGTGCGATCCCTTTCACCCCCCTTAAACCCTGCGAGTGAGACTGATGGTGGCGAATGATAGGACCGCGACAACATCCTGTGGCCGCTCGATACCTGGCGCGGGTTCCGCGAGATGGGGTACAGTTTCTTCTGGTGCACCTTCGCCATGTGGTGCGTCCCTGCGCTCTTGTTTCCCTTCCCTTCTCTCCCGTCGTCCGCCGCTCCGTCTCTCGCCCATGCCACTCCCACGTATCGCTCCGCTCGGTCGCAGTCGCTAACGCTCCTGCACGCAGTGTGATCCACTTCTTCTTCTCCTGGTTCACCACCCCCAACCGCATCCTCCCCGACCCCTTCTTCCGCGTCTACATCTCGAACGGACACCGCTCGAAACACGGTTCCGACACGGCCGTGTTTGATTCAGAAGGCAGGTTCATCCCGGCTAAGTTTGAGGAGATCTTTACCAAGTGCGTGGAGCGTGCGATGTGAAAGAGGGAGGAGGGCTGATGAGGTTTTGTTTGTTTGGTGGCGGGAACAGGTTCGATAAGGGCAACAAAGGCGGCTTGACCTTCCGTGAAGGCGTCCAGGTGCGTTCCTTCTCCCTTCCCTCCTCCGTATGAAGCGACTGACTGACGCCCGCTCGCGGCACACAGCTCATCCACGCCCAACGCCAGGCCGTCGACCCGATCGGCGTAGCTGCCGAGTGCTTCGAGTGGGCTAGCACGTACTTGCTGAGTACGTCTCTCCCTCTCTCTCTCCAACCTTCCTTAGGGTGAGTATGAGGCGCTGACGAGATTTGCGGTGGTCGTGGCGGTGGTGCGCGCAGTTTGGCCGAAAGACGGGGTATGTTTCCGCCTCTCTCATCCCTCTCTTCTTCCTCTTCCCTCTCTCCCTAGCTCTCGACCGTCGCAGAGCTTCGTACTGACTCTCCGCACTCGTCTCGTCTCGTCTCGTCTCGCTTCGCCCGGAACTAGATTTGCGACAAAGAGTCCATCCGTACAGTCTACGACGTGCGTCTCCCCTCTCCTCCCTCGTCCCTCCCACAAGCCCTGACCCTCTGCCTTCCCTTGCTTCTCCGGAATTCGCAGGGTTCGCTCTTCTACCTCGTCGCCGACGCAGAACGCCAACGCTCCCTCGCGCGCCTCGAAGCTCGCAAACACATGTCCTGGCCCGCTTGGGTTTGGGATTCGGTGCCCGGTCCGTGGAGGGGGTGGGGGAAGGAGAACAAGGCGAGTGGGTTTGAGTGGACGGAGGAGAAGTTCCTGTAAGGGGCGAGGGAGGGGGAGGGGGGAGGTGTAGATAGCGGAAGCTCGAGGGTGGTCTGAGCCGGTCAAAGTACAAAGCGTTTTTCAGTTGTTCTTGTTGCGGGTGTACGAACTGGCTTGAAGAACGGGCGAGCGAGCGAGAGCGGATAAGAACCCGAGCGAAGCAAGAAAAGCTGTTCTTCGGTGAGCGACGAGAGAGCGGGAGACCAGCCGTATGGCGTCTCCGCTGAGTCACTTGTGAGCAACAGACTAACACACGCTGATGCTGGTCGTCGATGGCGATGAGCGAGTCCAAGCGAGACGCATCGAACCGAACGAGCGCAAACAAGCGCACAAACTAGTTAGCTCCCTCCGCTCCTCCGCACCGCTCCTGTCGTTGCTGGAGCCGAGTCTGGGTCTGCGACCGACGAGCGATGCGAGCGCCAGCCGTGCAAGTACGGTTGCGGAGGTGGTGGGTGTTCGGTGTGCAAGCGAAGAAGAGAGCGGGAGGAGAGAGGAGTCGAGGTTGCGAAGGGTCTGCGTGGGTGGGGAGACCGACGGGGATTGGCGGTGAGGTCGGTGAGAATCGTCGCTGTAGGGAGCGCGTCAAGGGCTAGCAGGCGAGGAGAGAGGAGCGAGGAGGAAGATGGCAACGAGATTACTTGGGACTACGATTACAAGAATAGCTCGTCGTTGCTATTCCTAGTGCGGGCAGCGCTGTGCCTGCTGCGGCAAAGTGTCTCGCGGGCGGTTGTCCCTCTCGCGCTCCCTCATCTCGCTCGCCAACACAGGGCGCGCTCTCTCACGGGGCTGAGCGGGGGCGAGTCTGACGCTCACCAGCAACCCGCGCAAACATGCCGCGCACAGGCTCACTCACACCGCCCATCCCCTCGCCGCCTCTCGCAAACCCGCAACACGCCCGCTCGCACCACACCTCGCCCCCGGCCTCACCCCAGCCCACCCATCGTCCGCAGACACCGCTCGAGAACGACCAGGACCCGTTCCTCGCCCAAGTAGCGCGCATCCCACTCACAGAGGAGGACAGGCAGGAGGGCTACGACGTCGAGCTCCTCAATGCCAGACCGAGGGGCCGCTATTCATCCGACCTCGCCCCCGCCGCGGGCGCGAGCGACGCAGACCACGACTCGTTGCTCGGTGCGGGTGCGCTCGGAGAGAAGTACGGCGCGGGCGCAGGAGGAGGTGGACTCGGAGGGTCGGGCGCGCCTCTACCGCCGCGGGCTGGCTTG